GGGGTTCATAGTGTTTTTGTTTTGATGTAAATGTTCCGGATTTTAAGTATATTGATTATGAATTTTGCTTGCTGAATTCAGGATTTTTTCTTAACTTGTCACCGACAGGAGATGTGCTTGGTCAAGCTCTTGCCAACCTTGATAAGCTGGTAACCCAACCCTTCGGCTGTGGTGAGCAGAACATGATTACAACAGTACCCAATATCTTTGGCGTCAGATACATCAAATCAACCGACCAAGTTGGCATGGATGACCTTGTAAACAAAATGATTGAAAATATGAAGTTTGGTGAGTACAGATACTGTTTCTAGTTTGTCAAGTATTGCATCGCTCAGTTTGCATACGCAAGTTTTATAGAAATTCCACAGCACTCAAGGTGCACTCGTAAGTTATATTGAAAGCTGCAGTTTGATCTCAAATTCGATCCATAATTTCATGTATTAAACAGTATTATTGTTAATAATGAATGTTCATTTATATCATGTGCATGTAACTGTGGGTCTGCTTGGGAGTGTAAGCATAATTATGTTATGTGTAGATGTGTAAAATGTGTGTGGAAGAGTGGATTTTTGATGGAGAGCATGTGTGCATGGGTGTGCATGCACTTGTGCATGTGTGTGTGCATGTGTGTGTGCGTGTGCGTGTGCGTGTATGTTTGTGTGTGTATGTATACGTGTGCCTATGGTGTGGGGTGGGGGGGGAGTGAAACATGAAACGTCAAACCAATGTACCAGCATCTGGACAATAAACATTGAGATCTTTTCTGATCTTATCTTATGCACTTGACTGAAGATAGAAGAAAAACCCTGAAAAACTGATGAGAAGTCAGCTTGGCATATTCTTGAAACAGAGCACACTGAATCACAGTGTGGTCTGGATTGTACTTGTATATTTCTTTCAAGACTGCATGGTTATTAATTTGGGAGACACAATCTCTGATTCATCACTCGTCTCAGAAGGGACTGAGCTGTAACTTTTAACTCTTGTCACACAAGCTAGATTGAAGAATCTCAGGCTGGCATGGTATCAACAGAGATATTGGCTTGTCCTGCATGACCGCTGACATGTCTGTAAAATTTCAGGTACAAGTTTTAAAAATGATTTGCAGGTTTCTTGTTATGATCGGGAGCTATTTTGGGGGACGGAAGAATTGTTAATTTCGGTTTGACAGCTCTTTTGCTGTTACCAATTGTGTCCAGAGAGGGGTCTCTCAAACAATATATACATATATCAAACTTAAATGTATATGAATTAAAATGTCTACCACACAAGAACAATATTTATGATCAGTAGCTAATTTGTTTAATTTTTTATCTCAGAGGGGGGATAAACGCACTATGCCGGTGCCCTTTTTTAGCACTAAATCTAAAAATGACAAAATCGCCACCAAATTGATCATTAAATCAAAACAAGTGAACCTATTGTGATAGTTCTTCATCTTATGTATGAAATCCCGATAAAAGAGACCTGCAGAAAAGTAATTTGATGTCTAAGTCGCCATAAAGGAATGTGCCTGAGCCGCTGTCAGCAGTTCACCAGCACAATGGTTCCGACCGAGCACCGCTGGGAGCAGCTTGCCGGAGATAAAGATTTAACGACTTACAACAGATCTGGGGATTTTTTGTGCTACCTTGCGCCCAGATCAGAAACTCTCAAACAATAAATCAAACTGCATTGTATATATGAATCAAAATGTCTAGGATACAAAATATTTCTTTTGCCAGGTTACCAAAGGCAGGTTAGCAGGTACCGCCATAGAGACGGTTCCTTCAGTGCTTGGGGTGAAGGCAGTTCTAATAGGGTTGACCAACACAGCTCTGAAGCCAGGACTCCTGGAAGCACCTGGTAAGAATAGTGATTCTATAAGTTTGGGTTTTTTGTTGTTGTTTTTTTTTTCCAAAATGCGAGACCCATTTTATTTGTCTTTACAGAAACTTTGTTGTTAGTGGAACATACTTCAATATTCTCAGCATATCGTTCTTTTTCCTTGGTTTTTGTTAATTAGTTGTTTTAATTTCTGTCTAGCAACTTTTTCTTTTCAGGCCCTGAATTGACGTTTCAGCAAAACTACCCAGTTCGAGTTGTGTCCTTTATAATGTATAGGATAAAGTTTTATCTCATAGGCAGTTGTTTTGTCTGTTTAACCCTATCTGTACGCCCTGGGGTCATTTTGTACCTCCGGGGTTGTATTCTTCACATTTTAGAATACTTCTAGTACGAAGATCTCTTTGAAAATTTTAGTATTTCTTGAAAAATCATTTTGACTGATTGCTATACATAGCGTACAGATCGGATTAATGAGTAAATTTCCTCTTTGATAAGTGGTGGCACAGAGTTCCCCACGTCGTATGGATACAATAGGAAAACGTGACGTACGGATACGGTTAAGAGGTAGAGGCGTTCTTATATAGGTGACCGCTGTCCCTGCTGTGAACTGTCTCATATTCACGGACAAGTTATCTTCTATCTTCTTTGCTGTGCTACAACTAAAAAAATTATATATTTGGTTCCTCACATTTTATGTCCATTTAAAAACATTTTCATGTGTGGATTTTACTGAAAACCTTGATCAAATGCATAACAATCTTAATTCATAATTTCCAAGGAGTCTCAAGCTTTGGAAGTCACCAGTCACCAAACTTTGGCGCCCTTTTCTCGCTGATTTTTCCTCTGAAACTATTCGAGTCCTACCTCTTTCAATTGCAAATATCTCGATTTCTATTTGAGATGTTGATTAAATTTTTTTTTAAAAACAAGATGACTGAAGATGCTTTAAGAAGCTACCAATAACTCCACCTGCCCCAAAATTGACAAGCGCCTGATTCCACCACGTTGTGACACATATTTGATTTAAGTGTGTATATCCTCATTTTGTCTCATGCCACATTAATTATCCTTCCCCCTTACCCTGCTACCACCACCACCACCACCACGGACCACTCTCTAGGTTGACGGCGTTTGTCATAAAGAGTTTTGCCCAAGCATCCCTTTACATCGATGTCTCCAATGAAGTCCTGACTAAGGGGATCGAGTTTCTCAAAAGTGTGCAGAAGTTTGATGGTAGCTTTGAAGAACGGGGCAAAATTATCCACCAGGGAATGACAGTAAGTGCATAGACAGTTTATGCTGGGACATATCGTTGAATGCAAATAATTTATGCCACAAGGGGAAATTTGCAAGCTTAGAACTATCTTGTACCCCATTTTTCTGGTTTTTATGTAAATCGCTTTGAATGCACTGAACTCCAGGCACCAAAACAGGACTTAATCCAAAATGAAAGGGAAATTCTAAAGAACAAGGGAATTAGCCTAAGCAAATTTAGGCTCAAGGAAAGATTTTTCAGCAAATAGAGTGGCTTTGCTTGTAAATGTTCAAACTGATATTGTTGAGTTTCAACAAGTGAATGTCATTTTGACAATTTGCCAAGAACATTTTGCATGTCTAGCAATAAAAAGTGGGTTGAATTTTTTAATCCAGACCGTTCAAGTTTTGAGTGTCATTTGAGCCTTACTTTACTGTGACAAATTTCATTGTTTCTCTACCCCACCCCAACCCCCCAGATTTATTATTCTTTGATTACCATCAATTAATTTATCACCCCTTTCAAAGGTTTCCAACAAGGAAGATAGCTCTTTGAGGAGTGGAAATAACAGTGGACAGAGAGAACACCTGCTAAAAGAACAGAACAAGAGGAGAAACTATCTTTCTGCTTTTCTTTTATTGCATTCCTCTGGAGAAGTTACCAGATTCACAATCATACAGTAACTTTGTACTGTGAACTTGAAAAGATGGTATAGAAATTCAGTGTACAAATTCATATTTTCAATGTGACAAAGAAGCTGTATCGTGCAAGAGTTGTAGTCATTTTGAGGATTTTCTATAAAGACTGTGTCTTCATGTTTCTCGCCCTCTCTCTGTATCATTCCTCAGTCGGGCACCTCAAAAGGGCCTGCCCTCACTGTCTACGTCCTGGCGGCCATGTTGGAAGTGAGGAAGTTCACTCAGGTGAGGAAAGAAAAGAACATGTAAAGAAGAGTCAGTTAAAATATTTGTTTTACTGGACTATAGACACTGTTTGAGTACCAACACACTGACACACACACACACACTCACACACACACACACACACACACACACACACACACACACACACACACACACACACTCACACACACAATGCATATCTCGTGATAATGCCATTGGACCACCCACTGTGGCTTCACAAATGATTAAATAAGAAATGTTGAAGCCAAGAGGGAAGCTTGCAAGCCATGTTTATCCATGAGTGGAAAAGAAGTTTTTAAATGCTCAAAATGTGGCTTACTGTTCTCTCCCAAAGTTGGTCACATAAGCCATAGAAGAATTCACAAGCCATCTTAACCTTTATTAATTCTTCTAGTTTGCTGAAGAAACATTCATCCTCCCCTGGGCAGTACTACTGACTGAAGTGTCTTTAGATCATTCCCAAAGGGGGGGATATTAACATGTTCTTATGCACATTAGAATTGTAAATGGGCTGATTTATCAATGTCATGCTCATACTGTGCCGGAACAACAAAGAGGGAACTGCTGCTTTTTCTTTCTTCATCCTTACTATCTTCATTTTTCCTCTACTTCTTTGTATGTTTGTCACTCTCTTGTGAACTGCTTTTTCCGGGGTGTCTTGATAGTCGAAGCAGAATTTTTGTACTGTTCAGGTTAGAGAGGTGAGCAGAGTAAGCCTGATTACCTGTTTGGTCTTCTCTCTTGACATCCGACCCTTGGGGCTCATATGACCATATGCACTTGCGAGCGCCGTAAAACCTTAGTAAAACTAAAACAAGAAATATTCTCCTCTGCAGATGCTTTGGTTATTGTTCAGACATTGATGGACAAACTGTTTTTATTATTATTATTATTATTATTATTATTATTATTATTATTATTATTTTTATTATTATTATTATTACTACTATCATTATTATTGTTATTATTATTATTATTATTATTATTATTATTGTCATCATTATTATGTTATCTTCTGTTTTCGTGAAGCGTTTTTTTTTGGAAAATACCTTGGAGAACATTGCTCCATATGGATGTTGCATTTACTTATTTGCATAGTATGATGATGTGGTTTGCATTATGTATGAAACGCCATTGTAAACAAAATTTCTGTTAGGGAATGTATAAGAATTCTTTAAGAGTACATTTTGCCTCATATTTCATACTTTTTAATGTGCTTTAAAAGAACTTCAACTGGTTATTGATGTGTAGCAAGGGTCTTAATGTAGGTGTTTTTATGGCCCCATCAACACAATTTAGATAGATCATTTAAGAGGTGGGCTTCCTACCTTGCCTGTCATGCACAGTCAACCCAGGCTGAGAGGAATACAATATCCCTACAGAAAAATTATTCGTGAGAAGACAAAGAATTTCTGCCTAAAACAACTGAGAAATGTATTGCAAGAGGTTGCTTTGTTTACTTTTCTCCCCAGACTGACCTGAATGTAGAGATCAACAAAGCGATGGCTTACATGAAGCAGGTAGTGACATTGCAATTCCTTAGTAGCAGAAATCAAATGTTCCTGGGTGCCCTCACAGCCTACACTCTATCCCTTGTACCGGAGCGAACTGATGACATCATAGACATAGTTGACAACATTCTTATAATTGTTGAGGGTAAGTAAGCTTGTTACAATCGTTATCATCTTTATTAGGATCGTCTAAAGGTGGTTTGTGAGGGCTCTGGTGTGGTCCAAGTCTAATTTTTCTTTTTGAAACTCGTTGAGGACACTCATTCTTGCAATTCAACAACTTTTGTCTTGAAGACATGCTGTTTTGGGGCACTTAACAAACATAGTGCTTGCTGTTGAGTGAGGGCATATGCTATACCAATGTTATTAATTGTTATAACTGTTGTTTTTATTATCAAGGATCATAGTTGTGTTTCTCACTCTGTCAGAGAATTGATGGTAATGATAGTTGATGTTTTACTCTCCCATCCGCACAAAGGGACAGATATTTTCTAAGTAGTAACCTATTGATTATCATGATTGTGTCCCCTTTGGCCTCTTGCAAAGAGGTTATAATAGTACTAGAGGTCGCAACTGTGATGTCACCCACGTAAACTCACTATAGTTGAGTGGGCCCACTCAGCTTGCTTTGTCGCCATTTTTGAGAGGATAGGAAACAGCGCTGTCACGATGCGTGTCCCTTGCAACGCATAGGTCTTCATAGACTTTGAAGCTCAGTTCAGTTTTATTTTAAGTTTTCTTTTTGTTTGCTGTTGTTGTTTAATCATATAACATACACTCAACACAATACCGCACCTGCTGATCGATTCTGGGAAATTACATAAACACTTAAATGTGGGCTACAAATGAATAGAGAGATATGATATGAGATATTGATTGTTTTTCTCAGGCGGGGTGAGGAGGGGCGGATGGAGACATAGTGAGTAATTGAGTTTGTTAAGAAAAAGGACAATTTCATACTCACAAAATGGATTGCTTTTATGTCATGTTGTCTACATTCTCCTTCTACTGATGCAAAGCCTTGGTTTTCTTAGAGTCTGAAGGGGGTTAAGACTGGTTTAATTATTTAATATTCATTCGTTATTGTCTCAAAATGAGCAATTAATTGTAGGCTAGGATACTGTAAATCATGCATTGTAGGATCCTGTACTCACACCCAAAGAGAGCTGTTTAGTATCGGCCACAAATAATTATATACTGACAGCATTTTATAATGCAACACTTAGATAAATAGCCGGTTTGTCTAAAATGTTCACAATATTTTCTCAAATTGACGTTGATTGGCAATGGTGATTGGCTACACAACTCCCCTTCTTTTATGTACCCCTGCTGCTGATGTTGCACAAGCTGTTTGGCAATGGTTCCGCAAATGAGACAGAATATTACACCGACCTTTTTGGTGGGTAGTTAAGACTGGTTGGCTATTTCATATTCACTCATCTCAACAACATCGACAGTTGTTCATTTCCGTTCAGCGAGCCTTGAAGGTGTGCTACAGCTGCAGCTGAAGCATCTAGTAGCTCCTCAGTCACATTCCTGATTCTCGAGGGCCAATATTACTCACCCATAATATGGTCTCATCGTATAAAAGGTCCCATTTACATTATTTGGAGATTATTTGGCTCATTTAAGAGTAAACAATAACAAAAATCCCAATGAGTATATTTTAGCGATAGGCAAATCACATGAAAAGAAATCAACATCAAAAGACTTCGGAGAGTGTCATTAATCCGTGATTGAAAAGTGTTCCTTCCCATGCACCGACTGGCCTTTTATTCCTCTCCGGAATGGCGACACGCCCCTCAAGCTTGACACTCGTGATGTCACAGCTAAGACCTCTAGTTCTATTTATAACCTCTTTGGCCTCTTTTCTGTTGTTGTGTAACTCTTTTGAATAAAGATCAGTTCTGGTGTACCCTTGATGGCTGCCTCCATGTATTCAATGAGCTGTGTGCTTGTAATAGATGATCAAAGTCAATCTATTACAGGCCCTGCCTGTCAGAGCCAACTCAAGCTGTGTTGGGTACAACAGCCCCGCTGACAAAGCGTTAATCCTTTGATAAAACAACTTCCCAACTCTTGAATTGAATTTATGTTTTCTAAATATAGACTCTAGATCTAGCAAATATGTTCTTTCCGTATGCGACATAGATTCTAGATCTAGATCTAGACTAGCGATCTATTTCCTATTGGCTGGTTTTATTTCTCCGAACGCTCGGGAAAATAAACTTTAACTATTTCTCCGAACGGTTTCCGTTCTCGAGATTTTTTTGTTATTTGCGAATGAAGTGGCCCGCGTTTGTGTGTGTGTGTGTGTGTGTGTGTGTGTGTGTGTGTATAAGTGTTCGTGTGTGTGTGTGTGTGTGTGTAATGTTGAGGGGGGGGGGGGTGGAGGGATTTTTTTGTGATTTAGTTTTTACTTAGGGCTGGCTAAATGCCAAATGTGTTACTGCCAAAGTCGAGCAGTCTTGTTTTCTCGCTGTACCTTTTGAAGGTATTTTCAAATGAAGAGTCCTGGAACGTTGCCCCAACCACAATTTAAGTATCTGAATATTAAGACTTCTAAAAATCTCTAGAAATTGAATTCGATGCAAAAAATGCCTCTCCCCAGTCCTCGCAGAATGGCAGAATGAAATATGAAGCCGAACTCTTGGCAAATAACCAAAAATCTCGAGAATGGAAACCGTTCGGAGAAATAGAGGTCAAGTTTGTATTCCCGAGCGTTTGGAGAAATAGTCACTTTGTTTCCTTTTTAGTTCTAGAAAGGAGATTTTTATCAGTTTATCTCTTATGTGTCTAAAATGGAGGATTTCAGTGTAGTTATGAGAGTCCCACAGTCTGGAAATTCTATTTCTCCATCAGGTAATGAGCGGTTGGAGGCTGCTACTTGTAGGTCTTACTTCTCTTTCCCTCTTCTGTTTCTCTCTATCTCACTCCTGCTCTGCACAAGATGAACATGACTGCCAATGTGTTTCTTTTTACTGAAATAAATTAATTCACAGAAAATGGAGCGTCATGGTCACCATTCTCTAAAGAAGAAATAGTTCCTCCTTCAAAAATGGTCGAGATGGGAGCATATTGTCTGTTGGCCTACACCCATATGGATCAGTTAAACCTAGGTTTGCCTATTATGAAATGGCTGCAAGCTGAACAGAACAGTGAGGGAGGTTTCCACAGCACTCAGGTGAGTTCTTCTGCTTCTAAATAAATGAGAATAAAGAAATGGGTACCTTTTGATTAGAGACTAAAGTGTTACCTCTTATTTTCAGTTAACTCCTCCAGTGGATATTAGTAAACAGTAGAATTCTATGGAAAAGGAAATAAGAAATGCTTTTGGATATCTCTTAAAGTGAGAAATTGTTTTTTTCTCTTTTGTTTAGACTCTATATGTCTCTTCCCTTTATTCTCATGTTTTGTTTTCCTTTCTACGGTCCTCTTCTTGCTTCCTCTTTTTCTCTCTCCCTCTTTACTTTTTAATCTTCCTTTTTGCTCTACTTCCTTTCCACCCCACTCCCCTCCTCGACTATCTTATTACGTGTCTTCTTCCCCCCCCCCTCCTTTTTTTTCATTTTTTTTCTTCTTTCAGTTTCCTTCTCTTATTTTTGTATGATTACATGTCAGTTCAGTACTGCCACCTAACACTCCTTTCATGTTTAGCAATATGATGATATTCATGTTACTTTCATATCATTTTATGATTGTGATATAATATTCCATCAATGTGGTGACTGATCTAACGTTTCATGTAATTTCGACAGTAATATCTGTCAGGACACCAATGGCTCAGGTGCTTGTCAATTCTTGGGCATGTACAGTTATTGGTGGTATTATCTTAGAGTCTGTTTATTTATCTTTATTTTACAAAAAAAAATGCTTGAACAGCGGTCGAGATATTTGTGATTGAAAGAGGTGAGGTTGCCTGGTTTCAAAGGTAAAATAAGCGAGAAAATGGCCTCCTAAGTTTGTTGACTCATGTAGCTTGAGAGTACTTGGAAATGGAACATTTTCATTTCTGTGTTTTTAATCAACGTTTTTTCAGCCTAACAAACTAAAAGTCGGAAAAATTGCCATACCGGCAGAAATATTTGTTTTATTAATCATCGCACATGTATGTCCGTGGGATGGATAGAGAAGAGAGGCCAGTGTAAGCTTCTCTTGGTGGTAAAATTACTATACGAGAAAACTTGCTCTCCGCAGCTGATTGGGTGGCATTACTGAATTTGGTAAAACTATTGCTCTTTATCATTTGGGTCACGCCTTGGTGGAATCAGGGGCTCGTAAATTTTTGGGCATCTGGGGTTGTTGGTATCATTTTAAATCTTGTTCTATTGTCTCGCTTTTGATGAAAAAATCACCCATTTATCTTCAATAGAAGTCGAGATATGTCGAATTGAAGCAGCTGAGGTCTCTTGGTTTCAGAAGTAAAATTAGAGAGATTCGTCAATTTTGGGGCATATGGGGTTATTGGTATCATTTTAAATCTTGTTCTATTGTCTTGCTTTTGATAAAAAATTACCCATTTATCTTCAATAGAAGTGGAGATATGTCAAATTGAAGCAGCTGAGGTTACTTGGGTTTCAGAAGTAAAATTAGAGAGAAATTGGCTGCCAAAGTTCGGGGAATTGCAAAACGTGAGAGTCTTTGGGAACTGTAAATTTAAATAATTGTGCCTTTAATCAAGAATTTTCAGTAATAACACACACACAGCAATGTGTTTTTAGATGGACATAATACTTGCTGAGCCAAAAAAGTTAAAATTTCTTTAAAAATGGCAAATGGGAAGAAAAATGCTGTTTTCTGCTAGCCTATTTCATTATTTTGAACCGTGCTTGATTTCACCACGATGCCTCACATTTGTCTATATTCTCAAATACTCAGTGGAACTTGGCCGTTCAGAAAGTGAATGGTACAGTTGAGAGTACACTATAAGCCACGTATGCTATACAAAGGTTTTACTGTGACTCATTTTATCTTTATGACATTCCATATCAGATTGTATGAGATGTGACATTTTGCTTCATTTTAAAAAATAAAACATTACATTTCAGGATACTGTGATGACACTGCAGGCATTTTCTGATTTCGGTATGCTGTCTCATCGTGCCACTCCATCTAGCATGGTCACTGTTACTGATCCAGCCACTGGGAAATCGATAAAAGTTGACATTTCTGGTTCTCGTTCTGTCCTTCTGCAAACTGTAGAGGTGAGATGTGGATTTGTTGCAAACTTGTCCGTACTTTATTAAGTTTGGCTTCGGTTGTGGCACATTTTCACTTTTCCCCTTGATGTGTCAAAGTCCATGTGGAAATGAACCTAATCCATACTCCAGAGATACTGTCAATTCTCCCTAGAGGAGATGGCGAGGCTCTTGTGTTCTTTTTTCCCTTTGTATTAGTGTGATGATGTCTTATTTTCTCTTTGCCTGTTGGTCAATATCGATAATGACTAAAGTGATATATACATGATACAGCTTTGCCTGGACGGTAGTCCTAGAGGAAGTAGATTGCTCGATGTACTACTTCCCTCTTTTCAGATCTTGACAGTTTAATAGATATAAATAGATTGATTCAAAGATAAGTATATAAAGATATGGTGGCAGACCAGATGGTGCACCTCTGCAATTGTCAGACATGGATATCCCAGTGTATGTCCTCTAGTGTTCCTGTTTTACGTGCCACACTTTTCCAGCACAGATTGCACCTCCCTTTGGTGGGTTGGGGTGGTTTTGAGTGTGTGTGTGTGTGTGTGTGTGTCTGTTCTTTCACAAGGCATCACAGGATAAACGAACTGTAAAAGATACAAAACCTGTTGCATTATTGACACAGCAGTATAAAACATTTAGCTTAAAATACGGTATACACTTACCAATGACACAAGTAATTTGTTTTTTAATGAGGTCCAAAAGTATACCCTCCATATTAAACACAGAACATGTAGCCAGCATCGAAATGTTCAGATATATCGTCCTCGAATGGGTGGTTAGTTCTTGGGAAAACATCCATTCTGACACGGTTGTGAAAGCTTTAAAAAATGTGGGATTTCTTGTTCAATGGGTGGCTCCGAGGACAATGACTTGATTCAGGACGAAAGTCTCCTGATTTCACGCATGTTGACCTCCTCCAGCATGTCCGAAAGTCACCCTGTGCTATTCCTACCTGCAACCTACGAACCTACAAAAATGAGCTGATTTTTTAAATCAGAGAATACTGCGGTAATTCAATAAGGGACCTGAACTCTTTTATTTTACACTCTTTATATACTGATGCAATCCCTTTGCTTTTTACTATTTATTCACTGTTGTAAAACCGTTTTGTTTTTAACAACTGAGACTTAGATGAAAACCATTCTTCTTTAAACAATTTATTAAGTGATATCGACTATTTTGCTGTAAATAATTTACATTTATGCATACCCTTTTCCTGAAGACAGTTTCTGCAGTGATTTAAACCCTTTTAGTTTAAATATATTCATGGTCACAGGAACCCCATTTTCTTTCCATCCTTTGTTTTAGAGTACAGGTGTTGCTCAAGGGATGCTGCCTTGTGATCAGCATCAGTTATCTATTGTTCTGTGTTCTGAAAGTAGGTATTGATAAACATATTGCTTTATATCATGAAAACAAATCGACTGTTCAGTGTATGATTCTTCTATGCATCATTTTGAAAAGTGACGTATGATATGAGTCTTACACCAAGCAGTCGAAATATGCATGGATTCTTTTGCCAAACGAATATCTCATTCGTGATTTATAAACTTGTCTTTTGTTTTCTTCTTCTGCCCCCCCCCCCCCCCCCCAATTTCCCGGTGCAAATCCTTTTCCTGTCAGCTCCCGGCCAACACTACACAAGTCAATGTGACTCTCACCGGCCCTACCAAGGCAATAAGTGTTGTGAAGGTCAGTGAAAGTTTTTAGTTTTAGTAAAAATTTTATGGCATTTGCAACACAAATAGGTCGTATAAGTGTAGAAGATTAGAGGTGTTATTTTAGAGTAACCTGCAAAGAAAAGGGGGAAGACAGATATGGATGATAGATTTTTTTAGGAAAGAAGGAGCAAACCACATCAGAACAACTGCCAGCAACCCACAGAGACAGGTTAACAGCCGTACTTTCTGTATATGACCTTCAATAAGATAGGGTCCGGGTCCGGTAAGATATATAAGAATATTTTCTTTATTGAAATTAAAATCAGAAACACTATTTGTGTCATGATGCGGTGGAATCAGGCGCTCATCAATTTTTGGGCTTATCGAGTTATTGGTATCATCTTAAAGCTTGTTCATTTGCCTTACTTTCAATGAAAGAAAATATCTATATATCCTGAAAAAAAGTAAAGATATTTGCGATTGAAGGAGGTGGGATTCACCTCGTTTCAGTAGTAAAATTAAAGAGAAAATGGCAGCCAAATTTTGATGACTTCATTACTTGGGAGTCCTTGGAAACTGCTAATTTACATGTTTTGTACCTTTAAACAACGTTTTTCAGTAAAATTCACACATAAATGTGTTTTTAAATGGACATACAAGGTGTTGAGCCCAAAAACACATCGAGAAAAATTGTCAGACGGGCAGAAAAATGTTGATTTCTTCTATTTCACTATTTTAGCGAATGCCTGATTTTACCACGATGCAAAACATATCTGATTGAAATTAAAAGCATGAAGAAGGCTAATTTACTTTTGATTAGAATAAAAAACAAAAGTAAGACTATTTATACTTGAGTACGATTAAAAGTAGGAAGAATACTACATTATACAGTTGAACCTGCACTAATGGCCACCTGTCTAAGACAATCACCTGTACGAGCAACTAATTTTACATGTGAGGCAGCGTGGTGGAATCAGGCTCTCGTCAGTTTTTGGGCATGTAGAGTTATTGATATCGTCGTAAAGCTTGTTCACTTGTGTTTATTTGGATGAAAAAAATATCCTTTTATCTTGAAGTCGAAATATTTGCGAATGAAGGAGGCGGGGGTCACCTGTTTTCAGAGGTAAAATTAGTGAGAAAATGGCCGCCAAAGATTAGTTATTTCCTTAGCTTAAGAGTCCGTGGTAACGGAAAATTTAAATTTTTTGTGCCTTTAATCAACGTTTTTCAGAAAAATTCACACAGAAATGAGTTCTTTAATGGACATGAAAAGTGTTGAGCCAAAAAACAAAAATTTGATGAAAATTTGCAAACCAACAGAAAAAAAGCAAGTTTCTTCACTTTGATTATTTTGACGAGAGCCTGATTCCCCCACGCTGCCTCACATATTGTTATGACACTGTATACAAGACGTCCACGTGTCTGAGACAACCACTTTTCTCCTCGACAATAGGTAGCTTGATTAGAATTAAGGGGAGACGCATACTCCCGGAAAAATTTTCTAAACAAATTACTTTTATTCACTTTCATGTAATTGTGCAAGCAAGAAGTTCAGAGGTAAATAGGATATACTAAGGGTGAATTTGTTGATTTTTTCAGAAAAATGGGTCACTATGGCGGCCATCTTGGATTTTCAACCAGTTTCTTAGTGCAGAAGAATTTCATAGTAAATATTGAAACATCAGCCTGAAATTTGGCTCACAAGTACAAACCTATATGGACTGGGCATCTATACATGGATTTTGACCTATCTTTAGTTTAGTTTTAGTAGAGGCTAGTAGAGATAATTGACCTATCTTTAAAAATAAAAAAAGTGAGCGCAAAGTCATTAATGGACCCCCGAGAGTCAGTTGACGAAATTTTGGGGTACATATTACAAAAAATTTGAATATTTCCACAAGTTACCACTATTTCCATATTCCCTCACATGCACCTATGTGCCAAATTTGAAGCTTCTAGCTTCTGCAGTTTTTGAAAACTCCTTGCACCAAGAAGGTCACGTATGTCAAAAAGTAGATTTTGAGAAAAAACGGATTTTTAAAAGGATTTTTAGTGCAATTTGCACTTTTCCAACGCTCTTTTAGGTCATTTAGGGTGTATTCTCAACAGTTTTGTCATTGTGACCCGATAGAACAGATGTGAAAGGACGTTTTTCATCAAAAAACAAAAGTTGGATAGTTTGAAATTTTTTTATCGATATTGCCTGGGATCGCCGACCCGAGTCTTCCCTTAAAAGTAGTAGGGGGTTTCAGAGGCAGAGTCTTCTCTTATTAAAGGTAAAGGGCAGATTTAGTGATCAGGGTAAATATTATTTCTGAATAGTTTTTTGATGTGTCAGCATAACTCAGTGCAACTGATCCCTTGCATGTCTTTGGTGAAAATATAGGCTACTCAATTGGAGTATTAAGTGTGAGTGTTTTTTTGTCATTCTTTCTTATCAAACATCTGTCATCCATAGCTCTCCTTCTTTTCTTTGTATTTTACTTTCTGTTAACACTTTTAATCTTTGGCATTTGTATGACTTATTTGTGTTGCAAGTGCTGTAAAACATTCACTAAAACTAAAGTGAGTATAAAGTGAACCTGATAGAGAACCTGATTCCAGAGAGTGAATTGTGTGTATGTGTGAGTCCCAGAATACCTGCAACTTCAAAGCATATGGCCAACCCTGGCAAACCAATCAGTTTTACTTTTATTGCTGGTCAGTATTCACAGAAATGGCAGAAGATTTAGAATTTAGTCATGGCTTTGAAAGAGATCAAGAGTCCTGAGAAAAAACACCCCAAACAAATGCAAGCACTGTAAAACCGCTACTATGAAAATTTAAAAAAACCCAAAAACAATTTTAATCTTTCGTAAGAATTATCAAGCTTTACTTCCACCAGAATGATGAAAGCCATCAGATTTTTAAATGGGTTTTTTATACCTGCAGATGTTGGTTCTGTGTGCTCTTTGAGACTTTCAAGTCAAGTAGAAATTATTGTTCTCATTTCAGGTGGTGTACTACTACCATACCTACCCAGGTAAAAGGTCTGCACCTAAGGAACCTCTAGTGTCACTATGGACTCAGACCAGCAGAGTCTCTCCCAGTGTACATAGAGTCAAGACCTGTGTCAAGAGGTGAGTGGATAGATGTGTGTATCTGTATGTGTGTGTGTGTGCCTGTGCCGGTGCTGTGAGTGTGCGCGCGTGTGTGTTCATCTCTGGGTCAAGCTTGTATCCAGTGTTGTGACTGGGACAGAGATAAGTGCTCGGGCGCGCGCGTGTTTGTGTGTGTGTGTGTTGTGTGTGTGTGTGTGTGTGTGTTTGCCGATGTCCTCCTACATGTATGTATTTGTTCGTCAGTGCATGCCCACATAGTGCTAGCTCATTTCCACCACTAAAGGAAGGACAAAAGTGTTGCTATAGAATAGTCATGATTCAAGCCTGAAGTTTTCACTTAAATCAAAATTTGATTTTCCCTCTTATATAATTTTTGCTGCAGTACCAAAGATAAAATGCTGTATAAAAATAAATCATTAGCAAGCTGTTCAAATGTAGTCAACGCAGAAAGCGAAATTTTTCATGAAAGAAATACAAAACTGTTTAACTCTTTTAACAAAAAAATGTAGGGGTAATTTTCTTTTAACAATTGTACCTACCATGTGTATCTTTATTTGCTTTTTCTCAACATTTAAAATTTAAATTTTGACGAAATATTTTATGAGCACTTATGGCCGAAAGCACAGATTAAGCTATAAATAAGAATTGCAATTTAAAAGATTTACTAAGTTTTGGGCGTAGTACATCTGCACAGCTGGCTGACAAAATTGTTGTGGACCTTGAGAAAGCCTTTGACTGCAGCCATTGTGATTATATCTTCTTGAAAAATTGCCTGACATGATAGCATCTTGGAAAAACGAGGTAGACTATTCAAGAAATACTACAAGGATACCAAGCTCCAGAGTGATCCATGGAGGAGAGTTAACCGACAGCTTTCAGATACATACATTAGTAAAACATTTATGTATACTTTCTTTTTTTTTTATTACCATATTTGGATCATGAACACAACCAAAGATTGTGTATGTGAGGGATGGGAATCTATGAGACTAGATGGACCCAACTGGAAGACTTGAACTTTTCAGATAGCCTTGCTTTACCTTCACACAGTCACCAAAAGGTGAAGGAGAAAGCAAGATATCTTACAAACATTTCACAGTTGAAAGGCTTTAAATTACATTAAGACAAGACCAAGATGCTAGGGATCAATATCACCATCAATGATCAGATGACCATCAGTGAAGCACCACGAAAGGAGGTTGATTCCTTCAATTTCTTAGGAAGCATCATAGACAAGATCAGATTAACAGGTACAAATGTCAAGACAAGAAAAGGCAAGGCAAGAGGTGTTTTTGCACGATAAAAAATCATGCTGGGAATGAGGAACTATAGGAAGAAGAAAAGTGATAAGGATTTTGAACACCAGTATCAAAAGTGTACATCTCCATGGCTCGGAAACATGGAAATTTACATAACAATTTTCTAAAATGCTACTGGTATTTGTCAACAACTGTTAAAGAAAGATCTTACCAAAGGAAATGAACAACTGTGGGAGCAAATAAATCAACAGAAAATAAATACAGAAGTCAGAAACTAAAAAACATACAAACTGAAAAATTTGTCAGCAAACATTAGCCATCAAGCCTTTAGACTAAATCCATGAGGAAAGAGAAAGAGAGGAAGGTGGAAAAGTACTTGGAGCAGGAACTTAGGTTTGAACCTTAAGCGGGACTTAGGTTCGAACTTTAAGGTGGAAACTATAACCCAGTACAGAAATTGATGGAGAGCCCTTGTTGGTGGCTTATACTCCTGTATTGAGTGAGAAAGTTTGATGATGATAATGATGATGATGATGATGATGATGATGAAGAGTTCAAAGTTTTCAAAGACATACAATTAAAGTTTGTATTTGAGGTCCCTCATCATTGGTTGCAAAAAAAATGCATATATATCACCATGTTTTATTATGTTAGTTTATAATGTCAGAATAGATAGAGTGGCTGCAAAAACTTCCTAATATTTGGGTCTTTATGAAAACGCTTTCCAGTGATCCGAACTGAAGGTTGCTTAAAAAAGTACGACTTTAATTTTGATGATGATGATATTGTAGTAATTTTATAGTGATAGTGATTCTGATAAGTAAAAGTTATTTTGTTCCATTAACAGGTAAAACGAAAATAATCCATCCTTGAGTTATAAATAAGAATATACTTTTTTTCTACATTTCTTGGACTGACGAAGGTGTTGAGGTATCTTTCTGTTAGTATTAATCTTCCCCTTTATGATCCACAGCTCCAACAAACTGACAGAAGATAGCATGATGGTGGCTTCTCTGATTATGCCGTCCGGAGAACGGGTTTTAGATGATGTCACCACCCTCATGCGGAAAAACCCACACGCCAAACGCATAGAACCAGAGGACACTGAACTGCACTTTTATACAGATGGGGTAAGGCTTTTGCGCTGATGGATGAAAAGAATATTTCTATTGTACCATGTCCAACTTCCAGTTCTACTCCGTCACTTCTTTATATCTAGCCGTGTCAAGTATCACAGCCAAAATTTAAACTTGAAAAATAGGAATCAGAACCTGGTTGGCAAATGAATTCAGTTCAAATTTCCTTTTAAGTTTTGTGTGTAAACTAGAATAAAATATATGCCATCTGTGAGGTTTCTGAGCACTTGTGCAGTGGAGTTCCTTCATTTGGTGACCACAGCTGAGTGAATGTACAGTTGAAATAGACTTTAGTGTTTACCCCCCACTGTTTTAGTTTTTATCCTATTTCCTATCAGTATAATTGATGTTTTAACATGCAGCTCACTTACAGTGTTGTGCAGTGGCCATGCACAAGGCACGTCGAATGGGAATTCTAATTTGTCTTGGAAAAGTAAAAAACATACTACAGTGGAACCTGCTCTTACAGCCATGTGTATATGATAATCACCTGTACAAATGGCTACTTCCTATTTCCATTCCGACACTCACATTGTCTTTTACACACCTGCACACACACACTCCCCCCCCCCCCCCCCCACACACACACACGCTCACCTACCCGCTCCTTTTTTCCCTGTGAGATAAAGTTGAGTTCTGCTCTTGTCTGTTCAGCCCCCAGGATCTGGTTATTGCTTTGAAGCTGATCTGGAATCAGAAATTGACTTTGAAGTACAGAAGCCGGGCTCTGCCAAGTTTTATTCCTACTATGAACCAGGTAATGTTCTAAGGGCAATGTGATATAATATTTTGTGTTGTAACACTAGAGAGAAGCCATTGAAAGTTGCAAATATTGGTAGTAAGATAAGCATCGTTAGAGTTAGATGTTGTTCTGTTGATATTTATGGTTGTGTTAAAAGGGATGTAAAAGTCTTTGTTTGTTTTTTTCCTTCTGTTTTGGCCTCTAATCATGAGTGAAGGAAATAATGGGATTTTTGTTTTGACTCATTCGCTACGCCGAGCCGTGGTGGGCGGCACGGCTAAAGTGCTGTCAGTATGCGGCGGCTCGCGCACCGGCCTATAATTCTAACTTAGATTTTATTCCAATCCACATATCCATGTTAAAATAAAGATTATAATATAACATTGACTTCCGGGTCGAGCGTTTCCACAGAAAATCGGAAGTTTAGATTCTCTTTTGAAACGCGATTTCATAGTTTATGCGACTTTGTTTTATCGTGAAGCCCAAATTATAGCCCAGACACTAGTCTTAGTACTTTTACACAACAAAATGTATCATTATTTTTCTCACTAAAGAAATGTTGGACTCTTCTTTATAATATTGATACTATTGGACTCATATTGCCAGTGCACTGTTATTGAGAAATCAATATTTTTGAGTGCTAGATCTTGGTCTACAAAATTACACAATTACACAAAAAGTACCACTCAAGACAAGTATAGGTTTATTCCAAATGCAATTCTGAATAATTCCATATAAGATGCGAGTGTTTTTTTTCTGTTTGTGAACGCATCTTGTCCTTTTTTCAAGATTATAAATTTTATATATTTTTTAAATTCAATATCGGATGTTATGATCCAAATGTACTCATTTTATGAAATGTAAGCAAATAACTGGAAATTTTTCAATATTTTCCAGTTCTATATTCATGTATGTTTTTTTTTAATGTATCATTTGACAAGGTGCAAACATATTTTTTGAGTTTCACCAAAGATTATTTGTTTTTTATTTTCAAATTTTATCTGCATCCAGGCAAAATTGTGTTGCATAATCGCCTCTTACAGGAACCAAAGTTGGAAAATACACATATAAATATTACAGATGTATTCTACAAACCATACTGAAAAATTTGGTAAATAATGTGTTGATATTTATTTGAATTTGTGGCCCCAAAGACCTTTGAACTGCACACTAGTCATCATCTCATTTCGCCCTTCCGAAAAAAATTTGTCCACAAGCTGAAAATAATATGTAGCGAATGAGTTAAAGGGAGAGAACAAGCCAAAGGCCAGTAAAGGAAGACATTCAGGTGAAGAAATGGAAATGGATTGGACACACCTTGAGGAGACCCCCGACAAGCATCATCAGGCAGGCTTTAACATGGAACCCACAAGAAAAGCGTAAGAAGGGAAGACCAAAGATTACATGGAGGCGAGCGGTACAAGCAGAAATTGAAAAAGCGGGGACATCATGGAAACAGATAGAAAAGGATGCTCAGGACAGGCTTCGCTGGAGTAATGTTGTTGATGGCCTGTGCTCCACTGGGTTTTAAAAAGGGCAAGAGAGAGAGTTTAAGGGCAACTTACAACATGACAATCTGTTGTCTTGTTATGTTAGGTCATGAACAAAGTAGCTAACCTAATATGTGTCAAAATCATGACAAAATAAGTGATAATCAATTACCTCATCCTGTGAGATCATGATTATCCCTTTGTCCCTTTGAACCCTGGGCTCCTGAGCCTTAAATGGGCTATTCTCTGGGCTCCTGAGTTATTCCATTGATTTTTTAGGTATACTTCTGAACAGCTCATATAAGTATTGGTCTTATTTATTTGTCTCATTTTATATTGTTTGTAATATCACTATCCTGGTGCATATTGATGTTTCGTATTTCTGTTCTATTTCCGTAAACGTACATCATAATTAGGCGGGTATGTCATATCGATATTTTGGTACCCCAGGGTATTTGCTGCGTTGCATTCATACTGATATTTCGGTGCAGAAGGTTCAAAGGACTAAGTAACTAACCAAATCTGTGTCCAAGTCATGTTGTAAAATAAGTGCCAATCTTCCTTGCGGGCTTTGGTGCTGTGAGGAACTGAGCACTTATGGACCTGTCCGATGTGCAATGACGTTCGTTGTTGCCCAGGACAGGCAATACAGGTAAGTGACAATCACATGTCTCATCCTGGAATAATCATGAACAAGGCAACTACACTAATTTGTGTAATAAATGTGTCAAAATTACCATCAATATTTTCTCAACTTTTCTCGGCAGAGATCTCCAGCGAGGTGCCACTGGTGCTGAATATATCCTGTAGGAATGACGACTGCAATGGAATAGATGGGGCCGTGCCAATACACCTGGCCAATGTTCTTCTCACTGTCATGATATGCTCGCTGGTCAGTTTACTGGCCTCTGTGTAGAACGGACACATCCAGTTGACTTTTTTTTCATATTCGGACAGTTTGTCTGTCTGTGTTATATCTGTATACAGCCTTACCACCCGTGAAGGCGTTTGGAACAGAAAATCTTTACATTTTATGGTTTCTCCTCCCGTCAACTCTATTTAGGCTTCACCATTTCTCTCTTCCATAAGTGACAACGAAATTGAAGTTAAAGGTTACGTGATCACTTGAAAATTTTAATAGCTGGATGGCAAATGAATTTAAATGGCTTTTTCTTAGCTGTGAAGAGAAGTTGCTGGTCAAATTCATCACAACTATTTCCTGAAGATTGTTCGCCTTGTAGTTGGCTGGCCACTCCAATATACTGAAAGTGTGTGTGTGCTGACATTTCCAAAGTGCAACAAACAATGTTTACCTTTCCTGACTATTTACCTGTACTCTTTCTTACTTTTGCACTAAAACAGTCATAGATGTTTGTCTCTGCTTGTTCATCATTTGAAGAATTAGAATTGAAATGAATTTTTGTAAGCTTTAACAACTTATGCTGCTTGAAAATTTTACTGAATTCTCTTTCTCTGACTGAATGTGTTTCTCATAGCTATCATGATTTCCAGGCAAATGGTTGTGGTTCAAAGCCCCTGAATGGCATCATTGTTCTTTCAATTTTTGGTCAATGGCCTAGCGGTTAGGCTTTGGAACTCCCATCCATAAAGTCATAGATTCGAATCCTGTTGGGGGCCTGACGATGTGTTCATAGGAAAGGCACTTACATGAATTTTCCTTACTTCACCCAAGGAGGAATGGGTACCCCGCTTTTGACAGCAAAATATCATCAGTTTGTTAGTGTTTGAGTGCGTGTTATCTGCAGCTTGCACTGCATGCCTCCTGAGAAGCAGAGAATGTTTCTCAGTATTTTTGTAGGGTCTGCTGGGGTAATAATAGTTGTAAAGTGTTTAGAGCATGCTGTAGAGCACTGGGTATGCACTATATAATGCAATAATTGTTACTATAGTGACATAACATTATCTTACATATTTTGTGAACTCTTAGGCACTAGACTAAAAAAATGGAGGAATTTAATTCAGATTTAGATCTGTTGCTTTGGATGTGGGAGCAAAGAAAATTAATAGATAGCATGTTTAAAAGAAGCATGTGAATACGCTTCCTTTTTTTTTGTTTATGTATCAGTGTGATATATATGAGAATGGGTTGGTTTTTGGCTATTCTTATGAAATTGACCAGCAAGCTACCTGTTTGTGTTCAAAGCTTTGTTCCATGACAGGAAAAGTTTTGATTTAAGTGTGTAGAAGCAGCAAGTGATTGCAGAGTGCTTGGGTTTTATATGAGGAAAATTCTAATGCCTTGTTGTTCGTATCATATTGTGCCTTCTTTTCACTTATGAGAAATATTGTCTCGGATAATAGTTTGTCCATCAATATCTGATGATGACCAGTGTTTCTTCAGAGGTAATTTCAGAAAGAGAACTACGTGTAGAAGACCATTTGTGACTTTTGATGTGGCCAATAAGACTTATTCTGGTAGAAAAGAGTTTGCCGCATTTTGAGCATTTAAAAGCCTTATCGCCACTTCTGATGTGCACAACTTGCATTTGTAATTTGCGACGCCTCATAGGATTTGCTGCCCTCTGTGATAGTTGCTCTCCCATGTCAAGGGTTGAAGTCCTTCAGAGACATTTTTAGAATGCCTTAATAGTGTCTATTTGGTTCACCAGCATTTTGCCTTCATGAGGACAGCTCAGAGTAGAATACTCCCTTTGGGATTCTGAAGTCAGGCATCTTACGGCATGGCCTGTTAATAAACTAGTAGCACTGGAACCAATATTTCAATTCAAGAGCAAAGTGTAGACTTACTTTATGGTGACTGCCGTTTGGAGTCATTTTTGAAAATTTGTATAGATGTCCTTGTTGTTTGTGATTTGTGTTTGATTTGATTTGATAGTGCACTAGCTTTTGAGATGCTGGAGATAGCATGTGCCATGCTTGTTGGGCATGTTTTCCATTGACTTCTATTTGCCTTGACTCTTGTCCCGAATCATTTCTTTACTTAAATAAACCTATTCATATTTTATCCCGTTTCTTTACCCATGTTAGGAAAATGTCTAAAGAATTTCATTCAACAGTAAGGAGATGTGTTCATTTTGCTAGATGTCATGACATTTGTTTTTGCTGTCTTTTACATGATCACTCCAGGATAGTACTATTTATGTATAGAGTGCACTGGGGCAGTGGAGGGTGCTGGCTACTGGTGGCCTTGATCTAGTTCTCTCATTTTATGCAAAAACTGAACAAATTACAGCTGTTTTGATCTTGTTTTGGTATGAAAGTTCTTCTTCTGAGCCAGAAAAGGATGAAGAAAGTGATACGTTTGTTTTACTCATGTAAGTTGAGATTTTCTTTGATGGATGGAGTAGGTGTCATGGCTTATGAATAAAAAAAAGAATAATTTCAACATAAAGCTCAGCATTCACACATAATCCTTCAACTCTCAAAGGTTTCAAACATGGGATTTTGGAGGCCTATGACAAGTACCAATGTCTACTTTTATTGTTGAGGGTTGTGATTAATGTTTTTATCTTTAGGAAATGTCAAGAATATTTTGACTATTTCATTTTTTTTCTTCATGTGATTTGGAGATGAAATCGTAAAAATAAACTTGTAAATTAGGATGCGAGATACCAAGGTGTCCACTGGCTTTTAGTCTCAACTTTTATGTTTTAATGTACATGTAATCAGCTACTCCGTAATATTTGTATAACTGCCATGAGTTGTAAGCTAATTTTTTTGTATGGCTTTATATTTGTATAGATCATTGGGCATAATAAGATTTATAAATAGTCAAATTTTGGATGTTTTAAAGTGAGAATAATGAAAAAGATATTTTGGCTTCTCTGTTCATTTATGTTTAGGTCTGAATCATACCATTCCTCCATTTGTTCAAATCTACTCCGTAAGGCTCTTAATGGAACTCCAAGTGGAAGGGTTGTTTATAAGGAAATTAAAAGTTTTTCCGCCTTTGTGATTATTTATTTTATATCGAATTTTTAAGTTAATATTTGAGGTATGTTGGGCAGAGAGATATTTTTTTTCACTAATTGTATGATGCGTGACAGAAAATCTCCTCAAATATGACTAAACTTGACTCATATCCTGTTTACTATATGAAGCCGGTCTGTATTTAATTACTTGGGTGATTATACTTCTAAAGTGCATAGAACATGCCTTAGAAGTTAGAGCATGGATATGTGCTATATACATGTAAATGCAGTTGTTATTTATTATTATTATTATGGGCAGAGTCCTGGAATCTTTTGAGCGAAGACAGATAAATCATTATCTTTGCATTTTCCTGGGTGTAATTATCCAAGAAGGGCTCTAGTAGGCTCTTTTTGCCGGGATGAGCGTTATCAATGTGATGTTTAAGATTCTACTTTTCGCCGAGAAAATTGATTTGCCGAAATGTTGTGCTCAGTATCGTTATAACTTTTTCTCAGATTCCCAGTGTTGCTCCCCCGATGTGTCAGAGAAAGATATTTTAGAGGTTCTGCTCATCCTTGCCTTCAGCTATTTGATGTTCACTTTTTTCTGTTTATATGTTGTCTTAACTGTTTGAGAACTCTGTTGGTCTTTTAATAATGTCTGTGCTCTTTATTTTTACACATACATATATACACATGTTTGTGTTCCATGTTTGTTGGAGCAGCTGAGCTGTTTTGTAGTAGATAAAGATGTCATGATTTTGAAATACTAAATTTGTTTTGTATCTGAAATGGAAGAAGATAACAAGAATGAATTCAAGACCTGTAAACACAAACTCATGCATGGAAATATTTGTGAGGCAGCGTGGTGGAATCAGGCTCTCGTCAAAATAATCAAAGTGAAGAAACTTGCATTTTTCCACAGGTTTGTGAATTTTTTTCAAATTTTTGTTTTTTGGCTCAACACCTTTCATGCTCATTAAAGAACTCATTTCTGTATGGATTTTTCTGAAAAACGTTGATTAAAGGCCCAAAAAATGTACATTTTCAGTTACCACGGACTCTTAAGCTAAGGAAATAACTAATCTTTGGCCGCCATTTTCTCACTAATCTTACCTCTGAAAACAGGTGACCCCCACCCCCTTCATTGGCAAATATCTCGACTTGCACTCAAAATAAATTGATATTTTTTCACCCAAATAAAGACAAATGAACAAGCTTTAAGATGATACCAATAACTCTACATGCCCAAAAATTGACGAGAGCCTGATTCCACCACGCTGGCTCACATTTGTCTGCAGAGCAGGGCTCTTTTCTCTCTAGGGTACTGTGGCATGTTGCAGCTTTCTCATCAGGATATTCCAATATTTATTTTAAAATAGTAAGAATCATTTGAAGTAGCTGTTGTGTTAACTACAAGTTTTCAAGAGGAGCAAATAATGCTGAGGCACTCAAGTCAAACCTGTCGACTATGGAAAAGTTATCTCGCATGCCTCTCCACGCTATTGTACCAGCCTTTGAGCAAATTTCTGTGCCACTGGCTCAGTATGTATCATGCTTGGCTGTGGCACAGATGACCATGGTTCGAAAAATCTATTTTGAGTTCTAAAACTTAAGTTGTTTAAAGAGTTTTCATAGCTTGTTGGTCCATCGAAGATGGAATTTAAATTTGGAGGTGTCCCCCCCTTCTTACTGTAACCTTAAAATGTTGAAGAGAGCTTAAAATCCTTGCTATACCAGACTTTAGTTTTTTGACTGACGTGTCAAAGAGTGCGGCATAGTTCTGTTGATGTTGTGGAGTGCCCACTCATTGTTACTCCTTCTGTGATTTTTTTTTATTGTTTACCGCATAATGCACTGTTTGAGATAAGATAGATAATTCTTTATTGTCCAGATCCTGGCACATTGGTTTGGTGTTTCACCAGGTACACACACACACACACACACACACACACACACACACACACACACACACACACTCATTCAGACACACACACGATCATGTAGACCTACACACATTCCTGCATACGCACCCGCATGTGTTCTCCCATGTATCTCGCACACTTTCTAATCAGTGCTCTCAGTCTCTGAAGAATGTTTAGAGGTTTAACCAAATTTTACACTTCTGCATCCTTGGGGCTGGTATTATTCCCCTATTCAAACTCCTATTTCATATTATTTGATTCTCTCTGCCCTTGACTTCACTAATGTTCACCTTTGTTAGGTTATGCATTCTGACTTTTTGGTGAAGAAAATCACTGCTTTTAGTGTTTTAGACTTTCTGAGCCAATACAATAAACAAACAAGAAAACTTGTACGTCTTTTTTTCTTCTATTTGAGTGTTTTGTTCATAATTTTACATACATATTGGCATCTGTGGTGCAATGGTTATGCTGGTGGTTGGAGGCCACAACTGGTACCAGACTGGTAGATCTTACTTCTTTACTTTCCGTCTGTTGTTTATGTCTGTCTGTCTGACTGTTTCCCTGCACTCAATGACCATTATTGTGTCGATGTGCTTCTCTTTACACAAACAAAACTATGAGACCGATACCTGTTTAGCCCTATCCGTTTGTCCTGTGGTCATTTTGTGCCCCCAGGGTTGTATTCTTCTCATTTTAGAATACTTTTTGTATGAAGATCTCTTTGAAACTTTCAGTATTTCTCAAAAAATCGTTTTGAAAGACTGCTATGCAAAGCGTACGGATTGGATTAACGAGTAAATTTCCACTCTGGAAAGTGGTGGTACAGAGTTCCCCACGTCGTATGGATACGATAGTAAAACACGACGTACGGATCGGGTAAGGGAAGTTTATTTTTAAGGAGTATCTCGTTTGTGTGTTTATGCTTAGACCCTGCATCCCCTTCAGCCTGGGTACCGGCATCTGTGATATAGCACAGAGTCACCTTCCCTTGCAGATGACCCGAGTTTGATTCCCGTATGGGGAGAATTCTTATCTCGCATCTTTGTCTTTCGGCTGGGACGTTAAATCCTTCTCAGCCCAGGTTGGCCCACACAGGCAGGGTTGAAGCCCACCCCTTAAATCATTTAAATTAGGTCGATGGGAGCGAAAAAAGCACTTACTTTAAAGATCGAACAAGTCCAACAGTTTTAATAGCTAGGATATACAGTGGCGTCCAAAAGAAACTTGAAATTGTAACCACCCCGTCGTCGTGTTAAAACCTTGCACTGCTCACTCATGCAGACATAAATTCTGCATCATCTGATATACTAATCATGCAGCTATGTTTAGAGACTCTCGACATAAAATAATATGGTTACTCAAAGTTGACCTTGTATGTGTTTGGCGGGTGCGCTGGTGTGGTTTGCTGCTTCTTCTTCTTTCCTATCGAACATCTATCGTCTTTATCTCCCCTCCTTCTTTATTGTGCTTGTTACTCTCTTGTAACACCTCTACTAATCTCCGGCACTTATATGACCTTATTGTGTTGCAAGTGCTGAAAACTCTTATTAAAACTAAAAGTTGACCTTAAGAAAGCAGGCTTGGCAAAATTGTGCGAAATCAAAGAAATGTAAAATTGTCTTCGCGCGTGTATTGTGGATGATCAAATTAATAGAGTGGACATACATTGCATATCCAATAAATGGACAAATTTGTCTCTGCAATGAACACTATTTTATTACGATACTTTCTAAGAAAATTGAAAACGGAGCAATCGCAACCATCAGGCAGAAATTGGACAACTCTAAATGTGATAATTATTATCTTGCTCAGGAGCCATTGGTTTTGTGTAGAAAACGAACCCTTTGGGCATCGACTCTATTAAATTTTGGACATAGTTATCTGTCATTTCATCGCAAATGTCACAGAGTTGCAAAGGGTCTTAATTGGGAGTAAATTAGCTTTGCTTCAGCTGCTGTTTCATGGTATTTTACAAACATGTATGATTTATATCAGGGCTATTAAACTGGTGACCACTCCAACGTTGGTATGGTTTGGTCTTCCAAGAATAATTGTTTAGTGGCATTGCCCATGTGGGAAAGTGCTTTGCTACAGATGGAGATGTCTACTTGAATGACACCATATTAAAATAAGGTCTTTGCTGATTTAGTCCGAAGGAGCGACGAGGTCAATACATTTGGAACATGTAGAGTTGCAGGGGCTGCCAGAAGACAGCTTGGATCATTCCTGCCTGTCGACTGCCTTAGGGGCCCTCCCTCCGGATTTGTTTATGGTATACTCACTCAGCCTTTCATACTCCCGTATGCACTTACAAGACAGTAGGAACAGCTGCAGGTAGTACCATCTACTTTCATTATGGTAGCAGCACTAAGGCTGAAACTAATAGCTTCTAAAAACTGAGCACATGTAATGTTAAATCTAGGTTTTGCATGGTATTTGTGACCTCTCTGTTTTCATTTTTTGGGGGGTGGAAAATATCACCAGAAGGTGCTGTTCATTGCAAGGACAATAATATTTCCTTTTTATTTGATAGGCCTAGGCCTATTCAATACATGTCCATTCCACCAATGGTGACCACCAATGTTTATGCACTTCCATATAGGCGCGAACACACTTTTACGTTTCTTTGGTTTCCCACAAATTTACCAAGCCTGATGTTTTAAGATCAAGTTTGAGTGGCTAAACGTCGGTCGTTAACATAGATGAAATGTTAATGAGTCAGATGATATAGAATTTATCTAGCTTTAAATTAGTATGCTGTGTGGGTGGATAGTGCAAGGTTATAACACGGTGATTGGGTGATTACATTTTCAAATTTCTTTTGGACGCCACTGTACTCGTAACCCAACCAGGGCAGTGCTACTGGCTGAAGTGTCTTTAGGCCATTCCCTAGAGGGGGATATTAACATGCTTTAATGCACAATAGCATTGTAAATGGGCTGATTTATCAATGTCATGCTCATACTGTGCCGGGCCAACATAGGGCGAACTGCTGCCTTTTCTTTCCTCATCATAGCTATCGTCATTTTCCCTCTACTTGTTTTGTATATTTGTCACTTTCTTGTGAACTGCTATTTCCGGGGTGTCTTGATAGTCGAAGCAGACTTTGTGCTGTTGAG